TTGCAGTTGATTAAAAAACCAAACACTTTCGATCATTCCGAAAATAGCGACAATTCCATTGGGAATGAGCCCTACGACAGTGAACAGGAGTTTATATCAGCCGAATCAACGCAGCGTCGGTATCAATCGGCATTCCATGAATTTCGCGCTGAATTCGAGCCGTCCAGACGTGTTCCGCTCCACGAACAGCAGCAGCAGCAACAGCAGCAGCAGGAGAAGGAGAAGGAAAAGGCGGAGGTAGTGCAGCAGCAGGAGGCCATCAGCCCTACCTTCCCGCTGATGCATGATGAATTCGTACAGCTGAAGACTGAGCTGGAAGAGATCGAAATAGTTGAGCAGCTAGAGAACGAAAGTCCCCCAGCACAACCAGAGATTGAGAGTCCCTCGAATCAGCCAGAGAATCTGGACGACGACGATGTGACACTTTATGTCAAATATCTGGAGTGCAAGCTAAAGAAGTATCCCCCGCACACACGCAATGCCATCCAATTCGAGTTCAATCGCATCATCTACGAAGCCGATCTGGGATTGCACGACAGGGCTTCAAAGTTTTCGTGAGTATCATCAAATTGAGATCGAGCTAAAGCAGCTATCACAGATTTATCTATTCACAGATAGACACGCAACGGATCTATGGAATATTATGTTTAAGTTCGTTTATCTAATCTAAAGATAGATGCAAAGCATCTGTAATACTATTCCCTAAGCCCATCAATATGGTGCGAGGATAGTTTAAGTAGCTTCTTTAAATGAATTTCAATATTATTATCTCTATGTGAACTATTAATTTAAGATCGGAGACTGTTCAAACTATCCTCGCCTCATCGTAATATTAAGTCCATGAATGTGATTTTATAGATAAATTTGTGTTCCATATATGGTTATGATTTTATTTCATAAGTATTAAACAATGTTGATGTGCAATCAAAATACTTTCACGAAACAATTTTTATGAAATGATATATATACATTTACTTATCTTTCTACGATCTCTTAATTGTCCTTGCCATTGGACACTTACCTCTGCTAGAAATCTGTAAGGAAGCAAAATGAACCGACGAAGTCATGAGAATCGCATGGAGCGGCATTGCTGAAAATACCAAATATCTTGGTCTTTGTGAATCCAGTGATTCCTTCTCCCCGACTCTCATATGCATACCTATATATGTATATACATATATACACTTGTACATATACATATATGTAAATATACTCACACATCCTTTTCCTACAATTTGCTTTATACAAAGTTGGATTTTCCTTCCTCGAATTTATACGAAATCAGCTCACCTGTTCCATGGAAATTTACCATCTGTAAAGTCACGTTCCAAAATTTGTGGGCGCTAAAAGAAACGTTTAGTTTTTCTTCTTCTTGTTTGTTGTTGTTTACTTATCAATTTTATTTTTGCAAATGTTTTCATGTCGTTTTACTAAGAATTATCACACTAAAAAGCAACTCATAATAAATCGTACAATTCTATATATATATACATATATATATGTGTGTATATATGTATGTATTGGGTGTATATATGTATGTTGTATATATAGGTATTATATATGTATGTATATATATTTACATATATATGTCTTTATTTGTGTTGTGTTTGTTTCATTTCCTTTTTTACTTAAACTTAATTTAATTTAATATATATATATTTTTTTATTTTTTGGTTTTGTTTTACAAAGTTTTTTTTATGACTAATTTCATTTTGTTTTGTTGTTGTTGTTGTTTTTGTTCATTATTCTCCTTTTGTTTGCGGTCTATATATTTCATTAAAAAGCACTTATGTATTCTTAAATATCGATCGTTATGTATGTGTGTATGTATGTATATATGTATGTCTATGCAAGCGGATACTTAAAACCAATAATATTTTTTTAAAAATTAACAATACTTAAAACTTTTAAAATTTCTTCTTCAATTGCGCCTTTCTTTGAATTGATCGTTTTGCGTTAATCGATTAGCATTGATCGATAGGTCGTTCTTTGATATCATATCTCTTTCGATCATTGTACGTTTCTACCTAATAAAACTCAAGTAACTCTACGCGGAGAATATGTCAAAAAACTGGTCCATAGATTAAGAGGTATTATTTATAGTATATATGTATGTATATGTATGTGTGTGTATATATAAAATATATATTTAAAAAGAAAAAGAAAAATATATGAATGATGAACTAAAGTAAATTATAAGTCTACTAATCAGGAAGAAACTTGTGTGGAAGCTTATCAGTTTTCTTTGATGAAGCTGTTCATGATATTGGTAGACATGCCTTAACCAAAGCTCGAGCCCGAAACCATATGCATATAGAGAGTGCAGCACTTATGGATACCCTGTAGTAGAATTTGTACTATTGCAAATGGTGGTGAAAGTGAAAGAAGAAGTGGGAGATAGAGAGAGAAGATTCATTATCTTCTCATTATCAATATAACAGAGATATAGGGATAGATGTTTGATCCAAGCCTAGACCTCTGCTACCTTATAGGGCATTCGCATAGGCTTTGCTCTGTCCCAAAAAAACTAAAGACAAGATTTATTTATATATGTATTTGTTTCCTTTGTTTATTTTGCTCGTAATTTTGATTGGTAATGGGTTCAAGCTCATCGAGTCGTTGAACGCCTGCGCCATTGGCCACAAATCAGCGATACGCCAAGCCCATGAACTCTCCCTTTCCAGCGCAGTCTCCACAGCCCCCGCAGCTACCGCTCAGCTCCAGCAGCTAATCACCAAATAATTTAGTTGAGCTCTGAATTTTCAAATTCGACATTCGAAATAGCGAAATGCAGTCAACGGAACAGTTGCTCTACCTCTGACTCTTTCCATCTCCCTTTCCCTCTACCCATCTCTCTCTCACTCTGTTGCGCGCTCGCTCGGTCGCTTTGCAGATCTATTTGTTTATAACAATTTTGTTGTCGCTGTCTTTGGTGACCCCCAAATTGCGGCATGACCCTGAGCTGGGTCGCAGCAAAAGTTCAGCTAAGCAAATCGCCCAAAAAAAAATAAATAAATAAATAAATAAAAAAAAAATACAAAATAAAAGCAAAACAAAACAACCGAAAAAATAAGAGCTCATATATCTTAACCAATTTGGATGATCTCATGGTAGTGTAGCTGGCGCACAAGGTTGTCCGACCGAGCTCTGTTGCCGCGTGCACCTATGGAGCTCGCTAGGCTCTGAAAATATACATATAGATATATATGTATGTATATGTATGTAGTTGGAAAATTTCCACCACAAAAAGACTAAAGCTGTGCTGGATATATAATATGGATATGGAATCATACAATTAAGTTATGGTAGCTTAAAGGTATGCCGCCTCTACGCAAAATCGATTAATCGATAACAAATTTGGCATAATAACTAAGTTGAGCGTCAAGTTACTGTTGAATAACAGTTGCATATATTAAAGTATGCATACTTATCGATAATTGATAGCTGAAATCGATAACCGAAAGCCAAAATAATCGCAATATATCGAGCATTTTTTACAGGCAATACATTAATAATTTGTTTAAGAATGTTATTTGTATTGGTCCTTGTTGCGATATCGATTAATCGATTGTGATCAACACCAACACAAACACCATAAATTTTCTAGTGTTTCCGGCTCGAGCTATGAAGCAACAAGATTTCTTGACTTTTCTTGTATTGAAAAGAAAATAAACAAAAGAATATGCAAATAAAAACAAATTCATTTTCTATGTATGTAATTATATATATATACATATACATACGATATATATGTACATATATATATTGATATATAATTTATTTTTATATTATACGAAATATTAACTAAAATGGAAATAATACAAATAGAGTCTTACGTACGTCTAAAATTTGTCTAGTTAAACTCAAAAAAAAAAAAGAATAATAATAATGATAATAATAATGGTAATATTAATAATAATAGTATTTAATAATACAATTAAGAAGAAATAAAGAGTTTTCAATGGAAACTTAAGCTTAAATGTTTTTGTGTATTTCAGATTTTAACAATATGGGGGGAGGGGGTTTACTTAGGACTAAACGGTCGCATTTCCGCCATTCCATTTTTTTTTTTCGTTTTTCTTTTTATTTTTTTTGGCAATTAAAACAATACTAGAAAATAATATTAATAAATCGTAGATAATGCAATAATATATATATATATATATTTTATATATATATTTATACATATATACAATATATTATATTATAGATTTATATATGTAACTATGTAGGTCTAGCAAATGGGCTGCTGGAGTTGCCGCCGCATTCTTTGGAACGAGGCGCTGCCAAAGTAATTAAACAATATAATTAATTACATTTTAATATTAACTTGGTAACTGCAACAATTTTTATTGTTACTTCTTGTTTTTCAATATATTTTTTTTTTGTTTTTTTTTTTGTTTTTGTTTTCTTTTTGGCGCTGCAACAAAAAATAAAAGAGAAACGAAAGCTTACGTTGTACGAGAGAAAATGCGTAATAAAATCAATGAAAGCTGCGAGCGAAAGTTGCAAAATGCATGAGCTTAAGAGAGAGCATAAGACGCTCGCTCGCTCTCTCTCTCTTAAGCTGGCGCTCAGCCAAGTGCTGAGCCGCTCACAAAGGCAACTCTTCGAAAACGCAACACTAATACTAAATGCTCTCTTCCTTAATATTCATAATTATATGCAAGTACATATGCATATATGTCGCTCTCTCTCTATTAATATATATATGTGTGTGTGTTATGCACATGGATCATGCTTTGTGTGTTTGTAATTTTTTTGTTTTTTTTTTCTTTTCATTCTTATTTTCGTTTAACCCTTAAGCAAAAAACTTAAATTTCTATCACAGCCATTTTTATTTTTCGAAGAAAAAAATTGATTCTTTTTGTTGTTATTTTTTGTTTGTTTGTTGTTTTTGCCCAATTGCTGTTTAAAAAATGTTACAATACTTATACTTTTTCTTGCTTGTTTTGAATGCACTTTTGTTGGTTTGTTTGTTTTTGTTGCTTTGTTGCGTCAATATTTTAATAAAAATTCTAATTGCACTTTTTTGTGTATATATTTTATTAAATTGCTATTTAATAATCCAAGTTTCAACTTTTCTTTTGTCTGTTGTGCACTGAGTTTTGCGTTTTGCTTTCGCTTTTTGCTTTTTGCTTTTGTTTTTTGCTTTTGTTGTTGCTCTCGATTGAACACAAGGAAATGTGGCGAAAATTATTACAGAAAAATACCAAAAACAAAATAAATGAAACCGTTATCTACGCTAAGCTCGCCCTGCGCCACTCGAACAGTGTGACCAGCTTTCAGTTAATATTTATGAACTATTTTTTTTTATATTTTAATCACTGGCTATTTGGAATTTTGGTTTATTTTGAGTTTAGTTTCAAACATAATTTTGGGATTTTTTTTTATTGAATACTTCGTGGCGTGCGGGCGGGCACATAAGACTGTAGCAAAAATTTCGTTTCTTTCTTTAGTTTTTCCATTCTCTTCGTTTCGCTCTTCTATTTCTTTTACTGTGACTAGGAGAACGGAATTTGTATATTATTTGATTTGTTTTTAACTATTTTTTTCTTTCTTTTTTCTTTTTGGTTTTTAACAAAGCACGATAAAAAAAAAAAACTATGAAAATGGTTGCCTGGGTAAAGCGGCAGGAACTAGTTCTGTTCTTTTTTTTTTTTTTCTTGTAATCAAACTGAATTGGGATTTTGTGCCTTTTTTGGAACCATTTGGGCGGAACTTGTAATTCATGCAGGATTTGATTGAAGGCTCAGGCGAGTATTATTAGCATTATTAAAATTATTGTTTTTTTTTTCAGGTTTTTTTTCTGGAATGTGAACTGAGCCTTTGCATCGCATCGTAATATTCAAGTAATTTTTGTTTTCTTTTTTAGCCCTTTTTTTAGGAGCTGGCACAATTGTACTTAAGGAATTTTTTGTAGTTTTTACTTCTTTTTATAGGATTTAAAAAAAAAATTAGTTAAAAAAAAATGACTGACGCCTTACCCTAGCCTAGAGCTTTTCATCACTCTATCTCTCTCTCTCTCTCCCTCGCCTTAATGTCATCATTTACATTTGTATGTAAGTATATATATATTTTATGTATGTATGTTTGTATATCACTCGGCTACTTGAAGATTTGATATACAAATTAATTTTTTGTTTTTTATTTAGTTTTTTTTTTTTTTTTTTTTTTTTTTTTTCTTGTTTTTGACTGACTACAAATTCTTTGATTTTGTTATGTGTTTCCACACAAAATGTTATTGAAACAAAAGTTTTGTACAAATTGCGAGACAATTATTTGTGTTTTTCCATATTTCTTTTTTCATCTTCTCTTCGTATTGTTGTTGTTCATCTTGTTGATCTTGTAGGCCAAGTCGTAATTGCAACACCGACTTGCAGCTGCCCGAAACGAAACGCAAATATAAGCAAAAACATAAAATTCAGTTATCAATTACAATCTATGCGAAGATTTTCCTTCTCTTGTTCTCGCTCTCTAGCGCTGCCTAACGGTAAATTGGGTCTTAGTTGTTAGCTTATTAGCTAATGCTTAGATCTTAGCTTATAACTAATGCTAAATATTAAGCCTAAAAAAAACTCTTTGCTCTTTGTCTTGTCTAATTGTAAAAATGTTTCATTTTGTTTTTGTTTTTGTTTTTGCTTTTGCGTTGGCTTTTGCTTCTGCTTTTGCTTTTGTTGTTGTTGGTTGGTTGGTTGGTTGGTTGGTTGGGGTCTATCCAGCATCCCTTACTGATACTTTCATGTCTCCAGCGAGGTGACAACCAGATTATGAAACACGCTCGCCGATTCGCTCATCATGGCCGCCTGGCCGCACGAGTCGCTGCCGCTGCTCGGCTGTGTGGGCGTGCCGAGACGCAGTGCGTCCATGATGACCTCGAAGTCCTTTTGATTCTGATTCATATCGAAGTTGACCAGCTCAATGTGGTCGGCCGGACCACAGCCACCACCACCACCACCAACGCCAGCACCACTGCCACTGCCGCCACCACAGCCGCCACAGCTGCTGGTGCTCAGCTTGACGCGCTTGTGATTGTTGCTGCCGATGCCAATTTGGTCGTTGTTGCTGCCGACGCCGGCGCCGAGCCCCACAACATCCAACGGACAGTCCTCAATGGCCGAGATGAGCCGCTGTGGCGGTATATAGAACTGTGAGAGAGCCTCGCGCACCAGCCGATCGCTCTCGTCCTCGCTGTTGCTGCGCATGCGCTTCCGCGACGCCGACAGCGCTGCCCGCTCCAACTGCTCGGCGCCCTGGGTTATCTCTGGATCTATTAGCGGCATTGGTGCATTGATGGCGCTCAGCTCGCGGTCGAGTATCTCCAGATCGTTCACCAGATTGCTGTTCGATAGATGGCGCTTGCGTGCGGCCGCAGCAGCAGCGGCGGCAGCGGCCACAATCGAGGACGATGAGGAGGAGGAGGAGGAGGCGGAAGCGGAGGTGGAATTGGAAGAGGACATTGTGTTGCTATTAGCAGCTGGGGGCGTGGCACCGTGACGCAGCAACTGCGACGACTGATGATTCTCAATGGAGCAAATGGTGCGTGCGCCGTTAACATCACCGTAAGGCTTATTGTTGTTGTTTGTGATGCTGTTGTTGTTGTTATTGTTGTTGCTGCTGTTGTTGTTCATTGGCTTGGCATCGTCCATGTTGGGCTGGAAGAGGTTCTCACGCGCCAATTCCGTGCTGCTGTTGTTATCGGTTCTATAAGTCAGAAAGAGACAGAGAGAGAAAGTGGTAAGGGAAAGTTAGTTGAGTTTGTTTTTTTTTTTTTTTTTTTTGTGAAAAGACATTGGCAAAACGGTATAAAAGGTAAATACGAGAAAAACCTGTGCGACATCCATGTGTGTATGTGTGTGTGTTAGTGCGTATTTAGCCAACGATAACAAGCATCGATAGCTTTGTGATTAAATTGCACACATGCATTCATAAATATTAATGTTATCGATAGTGATTAGATAATTATCTATACACAAGTACGTACAACGATAACAAGCACCGATAACTTGAATAGCCAATAGATTGTATCACTATAACCAATTTATCGATCATATATATTGTTTATGATACAAATATAAATATTGATGTTATCGATCATGATAATGCAGTAACAGCAACAGTTACCGTTATTTATCTACAGTTACTTATCTATGGCATCCCACCCAGTTATTTATCTATGACACAGCATTTAGCACGCTTCGCAAATACAATATTATCGATAACTTGTGATGCAAACACTTGCTGTGCTATCATATCAAATGACTCATCATTAGTTAATTTCAAAAGCTCTCGCAACGCCCAAAAAATTAAGTAAGAAACCCCCTCCCCCCCTTAATGTCCGCATATTCTACACACCCGCCGCAGTCATCGCCATAAACTGTCCCCAGTCCCCCATTCCCACCCCAGCAACTGGAATCGAGGCAAAAGTGTCAGCGTGTATTATCGATGTCAGCTTTGCAGGCCAGTATGCTGGTCCGTGGGTCGCACATTAATTAACTGGGCCAACTGTGCGCCGCTTGGAGCCAGTTAAAACGGGCTAACGCAAACGCAAACGCAAAAGCTGCCGGCTGGCGGGCAGCGGACAGCGGACAGCGGCCGGCAGCGAAGTAAATTTCAGCTAATTTCTCTTTCAATAAAAGCAAGCGACAGACTGACTGAACGACCGACACGCCCCTCTGCGCTGCCCCACACCACAAATAGCCCACCTTGCGTAGCGCAGTTTAGCCAATATGCCAAAGCGTTTGAAAGAAGCAACAATAACAACCAAAACTACAACAAATACAAATGTGAATTAAGGCAGCAAAGTTAGAAGAAGACAAAGCCACCAAAAAAAAAACGAAGAAGAAGAAGCAACATCAGCAGCAGCAGAAGAGTGGCAAAGCAACAGCGACGCATTAAAATGCGCAGCTGAGCATGTCAATGCTCACTATTAAAGCAGAAAAGAGCAACAAATACAAATACAGAAACAAAAACAAACGCATACACACACGCACTCAATAACGGACAAGAATGGCATGGGCAAGGTGCAAGGCAGAGAGAGAAAGAGAGAGACAGAGCGAGAGGGCGAGCGGGCGGGCGAGTGTGAGCGCGGGTAGGCGCAGAGGTGCAGGCGCGCGCGAAAAAAAAAAATGAAAGCGAAAGTATGTAGGAATCCGTATGAAGACAGTGTGCTACGCAAAAATACCCTGTAAACTAAAGGCATGAGGCATATTGCTTGTATACAAATGTACATATAAAGAAATAAGAGTTAACAGTAAATTATATATAAATAAATTATATAAAAATTATATATAAATGCAATATATGCATACATATAAGTATATAAAGTATAAGTCAAAACTAAAACCTAATCTACACGGTATTCTTGACATACAGCTGAATTCATAAAAATAATTGTACGACTGACCATAAATTGTTGGCCAACACAACTTAGTGATAACCTCCTCAACATAAACATCTAAATTAATAGCAATATACATACATAAACACATACATATGTTAATCTTAATATTCGATTTTGAAATATAGTAAGTTTTTCTGTAAAAGCTATTATGCTCAGCCACAATACTATTTTTATGACCGCAGCTGTATATACGTATGTACATATTTGAATACACGGTAAAATATGTATTCATATCTGTATCCAATCCAACTAAAACACACTTTACTCTAACAACAATCCACCTCGTTGTTACACACATTTCCAAATCAATTTTTCAAGGGTATTAAAAAAAACACAAAACGACAACACAGAAAAATAATACAACGAAACGTTAAAGAAGCAGCGTTAACAAATCGCTCGCTCCAGAGCTTTATAGAAACCAAAACCAGAAAGCGTACAACAACAGAAGCACCAGCAGCAGCAGCACCAACAACAACAACAATAACGGCGCAACGTAACATAGAGAGTCAAAGAGAGCGTGGGGTTAGGAAGTACAGCAGTTGAAAACAGCAACAGCAACAACAAAGAGTAAAGTATATTAGTTTAGTTGTTGTTGCTATTATTGCCTGTTGAATGTGTTGTGCGCGCAGCACCGTTAACTTGAAATGTTGCTTGGGCCAAGAAGCGAAGGTAGAGAACGGGGGCCACGAAATGGGAGCAACGACAGCGAAGCAGCAGGCAAAAGGGTAAGCAGCAAAAAGCAGCGGCTCACTGACCAAAAATAAGTTGCCAAAAGCAGAGCGCAGAGCGCAGAGCACAGCGGAGGGTCGCAGTCAAAGCATGTTAAATGCAGCGGCAATGGCAGCAACAGCAACAGCAACAGCGACTGCAGCGCTAGCGCCAGCGCCAGCGCCAGCATTCATTGCACAAGTGACCCCAAAATAAAAGTTGCCAACAGCAAACAGTTGGCGGGGGGCGCGACGTATTATGCTCTGCTGTCATGCTCAAGTGCTTTATCCATCATATTACATAATATATTCATCTGCAAGAGAGTGAAGGAGAGTGGGAGAGAGCGTGCGAAGAGCGGGAGAGGGCGAAACCGAGAGATAGAATACCCACGGTCGGTCGTATTGCTTTTCAGCCAGCTTCCCAAAAGAAGCTTTAAAATTAATTTACTTTTTTTTTTTTTTTTTTTTTGAATAAATCAAAGCAAGCCAAATTACACTTGGCAAGCTGCGAGCGGATCGTACGGATAAAGCTTTGCTTTTCACTTCAGTGTGACGACATCAAAGCGCTTCACTTGGAGCTTACACTCGATTGCGCGTTCGAGTTCTTCTCTGACAGCAATTAATAGTAATAAAGCTTTTATCAATGTTTTTGGGATGCCATCGCGTTGACATTGAGTAGCTACAAAAGAAGCAGCGGCCACAGTGAGAGTGCGACAAAGAGAGAGGGAGGAAGGGGAGCGCGCTCGCGCTCAATCACTTGTAAGCACGCTGTGTCCGTGTGCGTGTGTGTGTGCTTGTGTGTGTACTCAAGTATGCGCGCGTGTATATGTTTGCCTGTGTGCGTTTGCATGGCATGCGACCGATAAGCAAACGGTATTGTCCACTCTGCTTCAATAGCAAACTGACTTGCCGAAGCAAGAGAAAGAGAGAGAGGGGAAAACTGAAGCTTTGCTTACTACTTGTTAGCTTCTTTTTGTTTTTTGTTTTTTTTTTTTTTGTCTTATCTGTTTTCGTTTTGCGCACGTTTTCTCGATGGTCTCTGGCGAAATATGCCGCTGTCTCTTGTGTATTTGTGTACGTTTGTGATGGGGGAAGGGAGACAATGCTATGTATACACATATACATACACATACATACACGCAAACAATTCATAGGAAAATTGGGGCATATTAAGCGCTTCACCTGCGTGGCATGGCGTGTGCCTGTTTGCCCCGCCCTTTGCACCCACCACCGCCCCCTCCCCTAACATCATATTGTGCGTTCGGCTGTTTTGATTATGATTTCGAGTTCAAGGCTATTAACTTGTGTATTTACAAATTATCCATCATTTGCCTTGGCTTGCCTTCGATGGGATCCTTACACAAAACGTTCCCGTCTTCCATTGCTCGCGACTAGCAGATACCCCATCGATGATTTAAAAAAAGCTTTTTCTTTATAGGAAAAAACTGTATGTATATACACACACACATACATACACATATGTAGACATCTCCATCTCTGCCTGGGCCTGCCTTGTCCATACACACACACCACACACTCACATACCAAATATATACATATATACGCACACTTGCACAACTTAATTATACACATTTTTTTTTTTTTTTTTTTTGCTGTTGTCCATTTTTAATGAGTACAGGGTATATGCATTGCACAAGTGGAGCACAAGCGACGGCAGGCAACGCAGTCTAAAAATGTTAAATAAAAAATGTCACACAATCGAACGACAAGTGCAAAAAGCAAGAAAAAAAAAAAGCACACACACACACACACACACACAAAATAAGAGAAAAAGGGGGGAATAAGCACAGCGCGGCGTGTCGCGTCTGCAACGTAGAAATGGAAGCGAAGGCAAATGACGTTATAACGGTAGAGGGATGCGGGGGAGGGGCTCAACGTAAAGTCACAAATGTAGGACGACGACGACGACGACGACGACGCGCATTCGTTGGTGCGCTGCAGGGGTCGGCATCGAGCCGCAGGAGACGGCGTACGTCACAGACAACTTCATTTGAAGCGGAGGCCGCCGAGGCGAGAACAGAGCGAGAACACCCCACACCCAATCCGATACAAGCTTAGCCCAACCAACCTACCTAACCTAGAGTCGCAATCATACAACACACACACAGACACACACACACACACACACACACACACGTACGTACAAACATATCTACCATATGGCGTATTTCCCCTCCACCACACCACACCACACCGCCGCACACCACTTTACTGTTTGTTGCTCCGTTTCGCTTCGTGTGATATGCTGGCCATGCAAATTGAATTTAAAGTGATTTTAAAGAGCGAATTCGCTGCGGTTGCCCCTTTAACTTGAGTAGATTTTGCTGCTAGTCTCTCCACACTCACTCTCTCTCTCTCTCTCACTCTCTCTCTCTCTCGCCTCTCACTCATTTTTCACTTATCAGCCATTATTTGTGTGTTTGTGTGTCTGTGTGCACATTGATAAGCAATTACAAATAGCAACAACTATGCGAAAATGCAAAGCGCGCGCGTGTCGTCAGCTAAAAACAAATACTTAAGAATGTTCACAAGAATTTATTTATACACAAAGATTGAATTGTGGATAATCGCACAGTCATATATGCAGATCCATACATGTGTGTATGTGTGTATGTATATACATATGTGTATATATGCAGATGAGTTTATTATTGAACAGAGCTTAACACTGCTAATCCGTCAGGAGTTCTCAGAAGTCCAGAACTCTCAGAAGTTCAGGAGTCCGAGTTGTTCGCTGCTGATTGGACTACATATACATACATACATAAATACATACATACGTACATTCATACAAATTGTATGACATATACATACATATATGTATCTGTGCACATGTATGTATGGATGTATGTATATGCATAATTTGCATTTATCACTCACTCACAAATAGAAAATAAATATATAAAATTCACCCTCTCCTCACAACCCGCTCATCAATTTTAATTGTATAATCTAATTGTTCTAGAATCTAGATGCTTTAAATGCGCGCCCAGACAAACAAATGCAAATGGCACACGCCCTACGCCTCCGCATCTGTGTGTGAGTGTGTCTGTGTGTGTCGGTGTGTGTGTGTGAGTGAGTGTTTGTAAAGTAGGCAATCGCAGCTTGTGGTGCAATCGTTACCGAATAGATGAGATGCGCAACAAAAGCACCAGCAGCAACCGCCGCAGCAGCAACAGCAGCAACAGCAGCACCAGCAGCGACAACGGACAGCGGTAATAGAAACAACAGACAATATAACAGAAAACTATAAAAACGTCGTCGCAGTCGCGAATTATTACGACGCCGCAAAATGGGGCGGTGGGTTACAAAATGTGTGCAAAGAGCAAAGCAAACACACACACACAAACGAACAAACGAACGAACCGAACGCATAGGCGAGGGAGCACGAGCAAGTTCCTCTCTAGCTTGTGTTCGCTCTCTTTCTTTCTTTCTTTCTTTCTCTATCTAGCTGCATCGATGCCTCGCTGGGTGCATTTGTCTGCTTTCTGTGTGTTTGTAGCAAGGCGCGAGCAAGCAAAGGGGGTGTGTTTAGCAGCCTCAGATGCGGTAAGCAATTGAATAAGCATTTGGTGTTTTTTCAATGCCTTTGAATAACAATAACAATAACAAATAATCATAAATCGCGATTCGTTAACTATTCGTAATCGATAACATGCTGGGCTGTCTCTTTAGGTGAAGAGCATTGCACAATAAATCAAATTGCACACACACACAAGTACATAAATAAGCATGTTAAGTATATAGAACATATGCAGACAATCAGTCAGCCAAGCAGTCATATAACACACACTGCTTATAGACACATTTTGTCATTTGCTTTTATAAGTTTCTCCAACATGCATTAAACGATTATTTCTTCTCTCTCTTTTAATTAAATTATCGATTGCTGCTGCTACTGCATCGCAACTTCAAAGTAATAAGCGCATAGGCATATGGTTGTATGTGTGCATGTGTATGTAACATGCATATACATATGTATGTATGTACATACAAACATACTTACAATTGTATGTATGTATGTACATATGCAAGCGTCTCACTGGAGAAAACATGTCAAACAAAGCAAAACGAAGCAAAAACGGAAACGCAGCACACGAAACAGCAGCAGCAGCGCCAACAATGACGTCGAAGTCAACGTCAACGTCAGCGTCGCGCTAGCAGCAGCGACAGCGACCAACTCTATGCCAAGCAGTAGCGAATCAAAAGCCAAAAAGGAAAAAACTGAGATTGCTATGAATTAAGTTTTTGGCTGCGCGCAAAAATAAGCAACAACAACAACAAAAACGAAGAGCTTCAAATGTCTGAATGTGTGCGTGAGTGTGATTGTGTGTGTGTGTACATGTGTGTAGTAACGGCATTTTATTTGTTTTCTCTCCTTGCAGCAAGCGCGCTGAAGCAAGTGAAACAAAGAGGAAGCGCAACAACTACAGCAAAAAGAAAGCCAAGGCGGCGCTATGTCCATCTCGCACTAGATGATGATAGATGACAGTTGTTGGTCGGGGTGCGAGCTATCCAAAAGGGAGGGGCAAAAATTGAAGTTGACTCGCTTCAAGCTTGACACGCGCGTACGTAGGCAAGGCAAAATCCAAAAGGCAATAACAAAAAAAAAAAATAATACAACGTAACAATGTTTAACAGTAAAGCCAATGGCAAAGTCAGTGAAATAAATGTACAACTTCATACGACTCCACTACTCTCTGCACCGCTAGAGCAAAAGCAAAACAAAAGAAGTATACAAAAATCTACAACAACAACAACAATAGCTACACTATTATACTGTACAATGGCACAGAGCCCACAGTGGGCCAACGCCAGCGATGGCAGCCAATGATCCCCACCAAGTAAATAAACATCATCAAGCCAGCTACATGACATTATGCTAGCTCATAATATAAACAATGAATTTCTATACATTTCAATATAACTTGTACATTGTATATGTATATGTATATGTCTATGTATGTATGTATATTGGGTATGTTCGAATTCCGAAATATCGATAGACTGTTATCGGTATGCACACTGGATACATACACAGTGCAGCATACAGTGCTAAATATATGTATGTGTGTGTAAATATGTAATACATGCATGCATAGCAACCACACTTCAGGCATGCCGTCTATTCCTGCAGGGCACGCAGCCGAAGCCTTGAGAGAGCGGAGAACGGAGAGCGCCAAAGAGCGTAAAAATTGCATACGAAAAGAAAGGCAGCAGCGGCAGCGACAGCAATAGCTGTTAATGATCACCAACCAATACATACATACATACATACATACATATGCAATAACCAATTGTGCTCAATAATTGAAACGCATTTCAAGATCAGCTCAAATGGCGTTTTCTTTTCGTCTTTTCTTTAACTACGAAATTCTTTCGTAATATTGTATTTTGTGTGTGTGTTAAAAAAGTTTTAATAACTCTTTGGACTCTGCATGGCTAAAAATAATTATACGCACACAAACACACACATACACATTAACATACTAATGTCGCTTCTCGTTTGTGCGTGTGTGTGTGTGTGTTTGCAAAGTCTGAAGGTTTTGGTTGCGTTTTGTGCTGTTGATGTTGGCATGCGCTGGCTTTGGCTTGTGGTATTGTGTGCATGTATGTGTGTGTGTGTATATGTATATGGCGACTCTAGAGGTGCACTAACAACAACAACAGCAACGTTGCTTGCTATCATCGCAGTCGCTACTCTCAGTTGCTGCTGCTGTTGCTGTTATGGTTGCTTTTTGTTGCAAGTGGAACGTGATTATTTCAACGAGCGCAACGTTTTTTAGCACACACACACACACACACACAGTCAGACAAACACTGTGTGTGTGTATTTTCTACAACTTGCTTTGATTTCTTTTGGTTTTTTGTTGCTGCCGCTGCTGCTGCTGCTGCCGCTGCTGCTGCTGCTCGCGCTATCTGCGAAGGTTGTTTCCCGCTGTATTTGGGTGCGCGCGTGTTGTTTTTATTTTTGCTTTTGCTTTTGTTATTGTTGTGTTTTAAGCGTTTTTCTTTTCTTTTGTGTTTTCTGTTCCTGTCTTTACGGTTTTTTGGTTTTTATTCTTTTGTTGTTACGCTGATTGACATCAATAACTACCGATTATTGACTATCATGTATATGCGATAATTATGATCGATTAACGATATGTATGCCAATTTGTTATCGAATTTAAAGTACATATACAAATGCATACCTATTCAAACTACATAAAGCAGAGTTTACTATCAAACTGCATACATCAATGTATGTATGTATGTATGTATGTATGCATGTATTCATGCTATTCGAGAGCATACTATACTAGAATATACTCTTCTTGTTGTTATTGCCTCTCATCTTTACTCGCTGCTGCATACACACGCCCTTTACAGAGCCAGACAAACGGACAGACAGACAGACAGACAAACAGTCAGACGATTTTAGTTGGCTCGCCTGCTGGTGCTGGCTGTGTTTTCTCTCGCCTTCTCCCTCCCTCTCACGCTCACTCTTTTCTAGTTGCTGCCTCCTCTGCGCGCTGCCGTTTTTCGTTTCGTTTTGTATTTTGTGTCGTTTCTGTTTGAACTGTTTGCCGTTGCTGTTGCTGTTGTTGTTGTTGTTGTTATTGTTTAATGTCTCTTGAGTATCTGCTTTGGTTTGCTTTGCTGTGCTTCGTTTTGCTTTGCGCTTGGCCTGAATGCAACAGAAAATAAATAAATAAAAGAAATACTGTGCACGTTCGCTATAATGAACTAATTGTAGTCAAGTTGGTTCCCCCCCCTTTCGCCCCTTTCCGCCTCTGCCCCAACATCCCCTTCTGCTCACGCACACAAACGCTTTCACAAAAAAAACATAGAAATTCCGTCTGTCCGCATATTTATTGTTCACTTTAACGACAGCCCACTGTACGCTTATTGTGTGGCCTGCAGCTGTAGTTGTAAGCCTGCAGGAAGCGACAGCGGCGACTAGTTGCGGTTGCCGCTGACCACAGCCTAAAGACGGAAATATCCTTGCGAGCGCGCGTCAAGTTACACAGCAAATAAAACTGAGCGAAAGACTTGTCAGACAGAGCGTTGCCACGCAGGCCAATAAAAACATAGCAAATAAATAAATAAAAAAAATAAAAAAAAGCACCAACCAGAGACTGAGAAGCTGCATTAAACCCAAACAACATTTCCAATGATCACTTGACGCAGTTTATAGCAACAAACAGAGGCAGAAATAGAAATAGAACTACAGGCATATATGTATGTACATATGTATGTATATGCATGCACATTCTGAAAGTGTTATATTTGTTTGTTGTTGTTATATATATATATATATATTTAGCACACTTCCACTATTTTGAGTAATCGCTTTATGTCTTACGCTCGTTCGTCGCCGCCGTCGCCCGCGCTATTTCTCGCTAGATACGCACTTTGGCCTTTCGCTAACTGCGAAGGTTGCCACACGCTCACGCACAAGCTTGAAAGGGCAATCGAGCGAACGAGCTCGCGTAGGCAACATCGCGAGCCAGCGTTGCCAATTGAGCTTTTTTTTTTAAGTTTAAATATATGCATATATGTACATATATGTATATTTTATATATTTCATTTATATTTATAAATCAACATATGAATATGTTCAATTATTTTGGAGCTCTAATTGCATAGGAAGCCACCTTAGCTAATTTTCTAAATTTTAACTAAAAGAGTATCACTAAGTCGCCATGTTTTAATTGCTTTTCAGGCAACTTTATCTAGTTTGAGAGTTTTTTTTTCTCTTCTTTTTTGTTTTTGGCAAAAGCTGGCACCACTGGCTGCCTCTTACAATTTATAATCAGACACACATAAACGCACACATTCATACATACATATACATATATAAATATGCAGTTATACATGTGCATGTATGCATGTGTCTGTGCACGATTGTATCTCTATCTCATTCGTTTACTCACTTTGGCAAATTCTGCAGGTAACGCATTTGCTTCTCTCGTCTCAGCTCATCGGTAAGTCGGCAATAGGTGTTATTGATGCAGACGCTGCGGCGCAGATTCGCTTCAGAGTCCTTGATACGCTCCAGCTTGTGGGCGCACAGCTGCAGGATGCGTTTACGTTCCTCGCGCTGACGCAGCTTCGGCGAGATCATTGGCACGCGCGAACGATGATGGTGATAACCAATGGGGGGTGAGCAGCGTGGCGGTCCGAACATGTCCGAATCATCATCGCTGCTGCTGCCATTGCCGCTGCCGCCGCCACAGCCGTTGCCATTCGCTGCATTTGTATTGGTTGGCAAGGTCATTGTGCGATGTGTCTGTGTCTGTAACTTCGACTGTGACTGTGTGTGTATGTGCGTGAGCGACTGCAAGTGTGTGCGTATGAATCGCATTCAAAGCTTCGCTTTCGGACTGTTTAAGTCTCTCTTCTTTGAACTATTTGCTGCTGCTGCTGCTGCTGCTTTTTCTTCTTCTTCTTTTTCTTGCTTCTTCCCACTGCACACACAAGGTAAACAGCAAATGTTTATTTAAGTAATAAATTATATTGAAAAAACCAAATTATTTTATTTTAGAATTTTTTGTTGTTTTGTTATGTTTTGTTTTTGGTTTTGTTTTTTGTTTCTCTTTTGTTTCTCTTTTGTTTTTTTTTTTTAATGTTTTTATGTGTGAGTGTTTTGTTGTAGTGAGAAATGATCACAAGCTGCTTCTAATTGTTGACTTTCGATAGGAAGCAGCCTACTTGATTTTTTTTTTTTTTTAAATTTTCCTTTGCAAATTACAACACGCTCATGTATAGGGGAGTGTGCGTGTGTGTGTGCTGCTGCTGCTGGCGTCGCTGCTGCTGCGCTGGTGCTGCGTGAGATTTCACTTTGCTTTTGCTGTTTGTTTTGTTAGCATGCGTGCGTGCGTGTGTGGCCCGTTATGTTTCGTTAACTTTGCATTATTTCGCACGCTTTATCTTTTTTTGTATTGGCTTATGCTTTTGTTTTCGCATTTGTTTTACTTCTGGTATAAAAATTCAAAATAATCCAGGACTTTTGAATTTATTCGAGCGCACAGAACTCAACAAAAAATAATCAAAAAAATTTTCAAAAAAATAAAACAACTGTTATATTCTATTATTAACTGTTCAATTAGGCACTCAGTGTTGACAATTACAATTCAAGTTTGGCAGCCTTTTTTTTTTTTATTTATTTATTTATGTCAAGTAATTTGTTATTGTTTTTTGGATTTTTTTTTTTCTTTGAACACGCGGCTTCCTTAGGCGGTGGGCAGTGCAAGTGCAGTTTGGAGGGCTGAATGGGGAGCGCGGTTTAAAAAGGAGCGACGCACACAAAGTCAATAGAGTTTGAGAGAGAGAGAGGCACAAGTCTTTTACTAATTGTTTGATTTGTTGTTTTAAGTGTTTTTGTTGCTTTATAATTATTATTAATTAATTATTATTATGTTCCTTCTTATTTGGTGAAAATTATAGGCGCCTGTTGAGGTTGCGTGAATGAGTAAAAGACAGAGAGTGAGAGAAAGAGAGCGCGCGGAACGTGTAAGTTGGGGAGCGCGTGGTTTTTGTTGTTGCGTTACTTGTGTTACTAGGCCGAACTTTGCCGCTGCCGCTTGCACGTCCGCACAGTTCTCGCGTTCGATGTGAACTGAAAATTGAATGAATGAAGCGCACGGGCTTTGGCTGGCTGGCTGGCATCAGCACTGACAGCGACAGCAGCAGCGGCAGTGGCAGAGGCAGCGGCTGTTTTATTTGCCTGCCAGCGGCGACGTCGTCGTTGGCAGCGCGCACAGATGTTCAAGCTACTTCGGCTCGGTCTCTGGCGGCATCGCAGCCGCACGTACAAACGGAAGTAGCAGCCAGCAGAGACGTCGGCTAACCTAAGCTGAACCGAGCAGAGCTGAGCAGAGCAGAAGCGCCAGCCTAAGAGCGTAAAGAGAGTGTTGCTATAAAATATAAAGAGCGCAGTGCATGGCGTACGTGCGTGCTGTGTTGTATGTGTTGTATGTATATATATGAGTGTGTGTTTGTGTGTGTTTCCACGAAAGTCGGTGTGATATGCAAGATTTTGGCATTGGGTGTGTATATGTGTGTGGGGCATTTTCTTAGCGTGTTTGTTGTTTGTCTGCTGGTTGCCGCTGCCACTGCCTCTGCTGCCATTTGTAACGGAAGCGAAACGCAAACACACGCGTCGCTGGCTCCAACAGCAAAGCAAAGGGCAGCAGGTGGGGGTGGACAGTTGGCAAAAATTTGAGAGCCTCTTGTGTTGTCTTTTGTCGCCTGTCGCTCCGACGGCATGGCACGCGCTTTGGCAGACGCTGCGGCCAATGAGCATAAATTTTATAGTTTCCTTTTTGCATACACATACATGTACGTACATACACACATACACGCACACATATAGATGCTTGCATTATTTCTTCTCTTCGGTTTTGCTGTGTGTTTTTGTTTTTATTATGTAAAAAGTGACTGGCCTTAAGCGACAGACGCCACAGACCGTTAGCGGCAGCATTTATTAAGTTGCCAGTCAGGCGCATGACAAATGGCGGCGACTCTATCAATATATTTATGTAATTTGTTCTTGCTTTTGTTTTTTGGCAAATGCAAATGCTTATGAACTGTTCCCAATATGCAAGTTGCATGTGGATGTGTGTGCGCGAGTAAAAAACTTGAGGTCAGTTTTGGCACTCTCTTAATTTATGCCCATGCCTGTGTATATATGCGTGTGTGTGTTTATTTGTGTTTGTGTGTTTAGCCAGCGTAATCTCTTCCAAAGACACACATACACACGCTTGAAGAGAGCGTCTTGATCATTATGATTATTAAAGCTGTTTTTGATTGTTGCTATTTTCTTGTTATTAATTGCCACTGCGTTGGCTTCTTTCCTTTGAAACAATTTGTGATTTGCTTGAGTTTCCAAAAAAGCAAAGAAAATACAAAAAGCACAAAATGGAATTCAGTGATAAACAATGCCAAATACAATTTTCTTGTTAACCGCCATGACTCAAAATGTGTTTAACAGTGAATTGAGTGGGCACCCAAATATGAAAGAAGAAACACAGCAACACAGAGAAATAATTGTATCCTAAAAAACACAAATTACAATCGCGCCAATTTATACGAACGTACGTATGTATGTATGCATGTATGCATGTATGTGTGTATTTATTTAACCTAGAAGATTTTCCTTTGGCGCGCATAAAATATATAAGAAACAAAACACAAACAAAAAAATTGTGAACTAACCTCATTTCGTTTTTATTATGATGAGGAACTGTGGCAACAGCGAAAGAGAGAAAGAGATATACGGCAATCGTTTTTTTGTTTTTGTTTTTATTTTCCTCGACCTTGCAGGCGTGTGTACTTATTATCTATATAACTCAAACTTTTACTTGCTATGCACAAATACATACGCACATACAAACGCATACACATGCATGCGTACTGATGAATAACTGTTTATTTGCAAAAGTAATCATCAGTGGAGTGCTACAAATGAACTGATTCGCTTTTAGTTCAATGTCAAAAACAGCTACACACAAGCACACATATACACGTACATACATACATATGTACATATGTATTAAAGTGTCTACGTGCATATCCTTTAGCATTGCATTGACCCTGCATGGCCTTCGCTGTTTCCCCTGACCCTGTGCTTGTCTCACACAAGCTATCTCGCTCGCACCGATATTTCATTGCGATTTCGCTGTGCTGCAGCGAACGGCATTCTGTAAAGATAAATTCAAATTACGTAATTAAGCAGGCCTAACAATTAAATATTTATTGCTTTCAATTTGCTGCACGATAAGCCCAAAAGTACAAAACAAAAATCGTAACGCGCACAAACACACAAATGCGGCTGACGCACGCAGAGTTACCAGCAGCAGAAGCAGCGACAGCGACTGCGACGCTGGCTGTGACAGCAACGGCGACAGCGTAAGCAACTACCTGCGGCCACTGAGCAAAAAGAAATCATCGCGCTTAATTTCAAGATGGTGTTTCATTTTTTGTTAATATACTTTTTTACATTTATTTCTTTACTTTTCTGATATTGATGTTGCTGCATATGTTCTTAGGATAGGGTGGAGGAATGGCGGGGAGGCGGAACAGATACTCTGAACAGCAAAAGCAAACACACACGAACAACAAAAGGTGCCGAAACGAAAACGAAAACTGCCCACTGCCAAAGCAGAAACAAAAAAAAAAACATCAGCAGCAACAACAACAGCAATGGCGTCGTCAACGTCAACGCATATGCAGCAGCCGACTCTGTCGCGACGTCTGCATTTCTCACACAATTCGCCAAAGTCGCGTTAAAGCCAAACAAAAGCACAAATCCCAAAAGGTAGACGCGCCGCCCCCATGAACTAGTAGGAGCTGTTTCCCATACATAACTATGTATATAAATACATATACATACATACAGACACAGCTGTATCTAAGCTAAAGCTACAGCAACAATTTAATTATCAATAACATATTTAAGTTTCGTTTGCCTCTAACGCCCCGCCATTGCCGCTGGCTAACTGTGTCTGTTTTGTATTTTCTTTTTTTGCGCTTGTGTGTGTGTGTGTTTTTTTTTTTGCGCGCACGCTCTCTTTTTCTGCTCGTCGTATACTCGTACACTCTTTGCATTTGCCAAAGCAGACACAGCAACGCAGACACAGTGGCCACACGTATCACAAAGTAAATGAATGCTAATGATGTTTTTAGTATTTAGCATTAATAGTTGAATTAGTATTATTACTTATACTAGTATTTATTACTATTCTATTATTAGCAGCCATCTTTCAACTATTGATTTGGTAATTCGATATTCTGTTATCCCAAAATTATAAACACAACAACAATAACATGCGCTCTTGCAATGCTACCTAAATGGTGTGTCTGTTGTATCATTAACATTCCATACAAACAGTCCCACTGTGCGCCGTGTGAATGAACGTATAAAAAGTGAGAGCGCGTCGCCGTCGCGCTCATAAACGAAAATCAATGACTCCCAATGCGCGCCGTCGACGACTGTTGAGCGTCGTTTGCCCTGCAGCGTCGCTGCATTCCCCTCTGCTCCATACGAAAGCAAACCATACCACACAGCTCACATTGGCTAGCTCTATTGTTTGTTGTTGCGGTGGCTTCTTCCTTCGTTCATTTGTTCTTGTTCTTGTTCTTGATATTGCTGTAGCCGTTGTCGTTGGCGGCCAAAGCAGCGCAGTGATAAATGCGTCAGCGTCAGCAGTTTTGGCTGCGGCATATGAGTGTGTGTATATGTGTGGCTGTGTGCGTGTCCTGTCTTGTTGTTTTTGTGCATTAAAAATGACTCGTGTTTGGAGCATTGTTGAATTGTGTCTAAGTATTTAAAGTTGATGCTGATGCTATTGCATACAGACATACATAGAGCCACACAAACACAGACACACACACACACACAAAAGCAGAGAACAGGCCAGTTTTCGTTATTGTTGTTGTTGCCATTTTACAACGTCTGCGGGCGCTGCTGCCGTTGGCGTAGACGCTGCCAGCGTTGCCGTAGCTGTCGGTGCTTTTAACTGTGTGCCCTTCACAAAAAGTGGTTGTTGTTGTTTTTGATGTTTCTGTTTGTATGTTTACCTATACATATTATATGTACATAAATACATACTAGCATGCAAGTTTGTGTGTGTGTCTGTGTGTGTGTGTGCAGAGTGTTTGCATTTACGTATATTATACATAAATTTGGTCATGTTTGCAATACACAGAATCTATTGCAAAGCCAAAAGGCACAGGCAAAAAGGGTAACGTAACTGTAATGCGACCAACGGAACGGCTGGCGAAAGCATATTCCCAAGTCCCCTCTCTCTCGCTGTCTCGCTCTTTGGTGGTCTGCTTCTCTGTCGGTTGCTGGCAGTCGCTCTCTTCGCTCTTTGTGTTTATGCTTTCAACATTGATACGTGCCACTTTTCGCCGCCATCAGAGAGATACACAGACACACACATACAGATATACACGCATATAAGGCAGCAGCAGTAGCTACAGCAATGGCAGCAGAGGGACACGGACAACTGGCTAAGTTTGTAATTAATTGCGGCCTTGCCACACACCGACCAACCAAACAACCAACCAACCGACCGACTGACCGCCCGCCCACCCCCAACGTTGGCTGTCCAATGCTGCTGCTGCTGCTGCTGCGACGTGAGAAAGCTGTAGATGAAACGCTTCGCTTGTCCGCCTCGTTGCCGCTATTGCTGTTATGTTGCTTTTTTTTCGCTCTTTGTGCGCTTAAAGACCCTGCACAGGGCAAACGCTGTTTTGGGCAGAGAAAGCGCGCTAGTTACAGTTGCAATCTAAAGCTTTGACTTCACAACTAAGCCCACCAAACTCCACCCCAACCCAACCCAGCCCGCCGCACACACTCTTTATGTCACTAATTGAGCAAACAACTGCTCAAGAGCGCACTTCGCCGCAAAGAGCATAGGGCTCGCCGTGATCGGCGACTAATTGCTTGTTGGAACCAGACTCACGCCAGAGCCAGAGTTAAGCAGCAACTAAATAATAATACTCAAAATGTACATGTATATTTACCCACACATACATACATAGATATATACACATGTAGTGCTTTCCACTCTTTGACTGTGCCGCCTATACGAGTGCAACTTATAGTAAAACTTGACGAAATC